AAAGAAAGAAAGAAAGAAAGAAAGAAAGAAAGAAAGAAAGAAAGAAAGAAAGAAAGAAAGAAAGAAAGAAAGAAAGAAAGAAAGATGATAGATAGATAAATAGATAGACAGATAGACAGACAATAGATAGATAAGATAGATGATAGATGATTGATAGATAAGATAGATGATAGATAGATAGATAGATAGATAGATAGATAGATAGATAGATAGATAGGATAGATGATAGATTGATAGGCAGATAATAGATAAGATAGATAGGTATTTAGATGATTGATAGATGATAGATAAGATAAATAGTTAGATGACAGATAAGATAGATGATAGATAAGATAGATTGATAGATGATAGATAAGATAGATGGATTGATAGATAGATAGGTGATAGATAAGATAGATGATAGATAGATAAGATAGATAGATGATAGATAGATAGATAGAAAGAAAGAACAGTTATATTTATTTATTTATTTATTAGATTTGTATTGCCGCCTATTCACCATGGCTATACCACTTTACGGTGCTTCCCACCCCTCTCTAAGCGGTTTTACAGAGTCAGCCTATTGCCCCCAACAATCTGGGTCCTCATTTTGCCCACCTCAGAAGGATGGAAGGCTGAGTCAACTTTGAGCCTGGTGGGATTCGAACTGCCAAATTACAATCAGCCGGCAGTCAGCCGAAGTAGCCTGCAGTACCGCACTCTAGCCACTTGCGCCACTGCAGATGATTGATAGATGATTGATAGCTAGATAGCTAAACGACTGATAGATAGATGATAGACAGACAGATCGATAGATGATAGATTGATAGATGATAGATAGATGATGGATAAATAAATAGAATAACTTTATTGTCACTTTGAATGTATACTAATCGGCATACATTAAAATGAAATTTCATTGCATACAGCTCTCAAAGGCTCACTACCTCCAATGTATATTACATAAACATGACTAAATGAATTAATAAATACAAAATTATGCATATACCCACATACTGTCTATTACAGACAGAGAAACAACAGTCTAGTTCGGATGTATGCATGTACATAGCGAAAGAGACGAATCTTGCAAATTTACCAGACGGGAGGGCACGGGGATCAAAGCTGTTACAGAATCTGGTAGTCCAAGAGAAATATTTAGAAACCTCCTCTGAGGTGGGAGCAACAGAAACAGACCGTGAAGTGGTTGTATGGGGTTTCTAACAATCCTTCAAGCTCTAAGCACATGTAGCGTTTATAAGCAGTATCCTGAATAACGGAAAGCGAGCGTCCTATAATCTTCTTGGTTGTCCTTACCACTCTTTGTAGGGACTTTCTATCTGAGGCACAGCTGCCACAAAACCAAACGGCGATGCAGTTTGTTAAAAAAAAAAAACTCACTGAAATGAATGATGGGCCTGGGAAGCGAAGAATTCTCCAGAATTTGTACCCCAAATAATTCTCTGTCTCCCTTTGTCTTGAATCCTAAGAGGGACTCCTGGTGCCCAAACCAGACCTGGCTTCCAATCCAGAAGAAGAAGAAGATGAGCAGGTTTTCATCCGGTTTCCGGTCGAAAGTGAGAGAATTCCAGATCCCAGAACAGGTAAGAGGAAGTCTGCTTGTCACCCTTGCAAGAATAATTTCCGACTTCCTTTTGAGCGAGTGGGATGAGTTTGGAGAGCATCCTAATTCTCCTCAGTCAGCTTGATTTTTCTCTAGGTTTATTTCAAGTGTTTTAAGGCATTGTTCAGCAAGAAAGGATCCCAGAGCAATGGACCGACAGGCAGTAAAAGTCCACAGGCAGTCCTTGAGTTACGACCACAATCGAGCCCAAAATTTACGTTGCTGAGGGAGACATTCATTAGGGGAGTTTTGCCCCGTTTTACGACCTTTCTTGCTGCAATTGTTCAGTTCATCACTTCAGTTGTTAACTTAGTAACACGGTTGTTAAGTGAATCTGGCTTCCCCCAGTGACTTCGCTTGTCAAAAGGGTCGCAAAAGGGAGTCACATGACCCCCGGGACAAAGCAATCGTCAAAAATATGAGTCAGTTGCCAAGTGGCTGAATTTTGATCACGTGACCATGGTGATGCCACAACGCTCATCGGTGCAAAAAAAAAAACGGACAAAAGTCAGATTTTTTTTCAGTGCCATTTTAACTTCAAATGGTCACCCAATGACGCGTTTCCTACCCATTTTTTTTGAAAGTATTTATATCAAGTAGTGAACGGTCACTAAAATGAACAGTTGTAAGTGGAGGACGACCCGTCTATTTTCCTTTAAGGTTATTAGTGCAAACGTCACAACTCGGGAAGAAAACAGGAGGAAATTTGCGATGAGTTGTCTTTGAATTTCCCCATAGCTTTGGAAGATTTTGTAGCCTGTGTTCTTGAGGTGGCATTGTTTGCAACCAAAAGCAGTGGCAACGTCTAGCCCTCAGTCAGTAGGAAAACGAGGTTATGGATACGGATCTGTTGGGTGAAATTGTATACAGCATACCTCTCTGCCTGTATGAATTGAATGTCCATTTTGGCTAGATCTTGGGGTGTTGGCTCTTGATAAGAGCAAATGTTAGGCCAAAAACATCTCTTTAGATTTGGAGAGGGAGGGGGGGAGGAAGATATATATATATATATGTTTTCTGAGGTTCTCGCGGGTATTTGTATGTGGATCTTTGGTTGTTCGGGTTTTCTCCCGCGTAAGATTCGAAGTATCTAGGCAACGTTTCGATGAAGTCTCATTCATCATCTTCAGGCTTCTGTCTTCGGCTCTGTGCTTCTCAGAGCCGAAGACAGAAGCCTGAAGATAATAACCCGAACAACCAAAGATCCATATAGATATAGATATAGATATAGATATAGATATAGATAGATATAGATATAGATGGGGCATTCAGCTTTGTTCGAGTATTTTCCCACATCATTGTAGTTGTGCTTTTAAAGTTGTAGCAACGTTTCAGCAGAATCTCATCTGCCATTATCAGGCTTCAACTTTAAAAGCACAACTACAGTGATGTGGGAAAATACCCGAACAAAGCTGAATACCATACATGTAAGTACCCGCGAAAACTTAAGAAAACACACATATATATATGTGTGTGTGTGTGTGTGTGTGTGTATCTATCTGTCTCTGTGTATCTGTGTATCTGTATCTGTGTATATACATATATACATACATACAGATAGAGATAGAGAGAGAGAGATACAGAGATACAGAGGTGAGAGAGAGATGAGAGAGAAAGAAAGAGAGAAAGAAAGAGAGATACAGAGATGACAGGGGAGGGAGGGAGGAAGGGATATGTGTGTGTGTGTGTGTATCTATGTATCTATGTGTATATACATATATACATACATACATACGTACAGATAGAGAGAGAGATACAGAGATGAGAGAGAGATGAGAGAGAAAGAGAGAGATAACGGAGATGACAGAGGAGGGAGGGAAAGTAAACACAAGATCCACAACACAGCCTGTGCTTTACTCTGGAAACCCTATCCTCCATTACAATAAAAACAATACTTAATGAATGTATCATTGCTGAATCCCATTTTTCAAATGTGTGTTCTGGTTTTAGGCACATTCCCCCATTCACAGTTGTTATTTTAAACACCTGTTTCTTTATTAATAGCAATAACACTTAATACCGCGTCGCAGTGCGTTGCAGGCCTCTCTAAGTGGTTTGCAGAGTCAGCCTCTTGCCCCCAACAATCTGGGCCCTCATTTTCCCCACCTCGGAAGGATGGAGGGCTGAGTCAACCTTGAGCCTGGTGGGATTCGAACTGCCAAATTGCAGGCAGTCAGCAGTCAGCAGAAGTAGCCTGCAGTACTGCACTCTAACCACTGCACCACAGCGGCTCATCCAATTTATAAGGCTGCCTGCCTAACCACGGGAACACCCACGTAAAAATTAACATCCCAAATTGGCGTTGAACCATGTTCATCAAATAAATAAATAAATAAATAGCAAAACCTGGTGGGCCCCCTCTTTCTTGGTTGGCGTCCACTTTTCCGCACCTATCTCCTGTGACAGTTTTGCCTTTCAATTTGCCCACCTACTTAGTTGTGTGTCAACTCATAAAATATTTCTATGGTCATTTTAGGGAGGGGGAGAAAGGGGTTTGAAAGAGCAGTGCGGCAGCTTGGAAATCGAAAGTGCATTCCATAAATAGCTTTTTCAAAGATAGTAACTAGGTGACTGAATTTCTGCCGTGCAAAATTCTAATTGGAGAACATGATTGATGACTCGGGGCTATGGATGTGTCCCATTGGAGAATATGAATTACGATACGCCCAGGAGGTGGGGGGGAAAACCAGGGTCAAGAGTGACAGTGAATTGTGTGTCTCAGAGTTGGCTACACCCAGGCAGTGCCGGACATGTTAACTCCCCATAAATCCTTTGGAAGTTTTGAAAGTTTGGCTAGCTGACGGAATCCCGACACTGCTGTGTGCCTGCTGCCTTTTCACCCCTTCCGTCCGGCGTTTAAAAATACACCCCACCCCACCCCAAAAAAAGACTCCCACCTGCCACGCCAGAGTGAAACATAGCTCGTTTTCTGTTCGTGTTCACCGTTTTTCTCGACTTAGGACCCAGGGACTCTTCGTTTTCGGAGGCTGCGCCCAGCCCGTCAGGAGGCACCCGGTTCTCCCGGAAAACCTCTTGTCCTCTCCGGGATTTTACGGGCTCTCACTGGAAGCATCCTCGCTGGACCGAGGACGAAATCCAAGCTTTTATTGAGATCTGGGGGGACACATCTGTACAGAGAGCCCTCTTCTCAAACTATCGGACGGTCTCTCAGTTTGAGTGGATTTCATGCCAGATGAAGGCCCGGGGTTACGACCGGAATTGGCTCCAGTGCCGGGAGAAAGCCAAGCATCTCCGGAAAAGCTACAAGGATTGCCTCGGAGGGCACAGCCACTGGGGATCGGGCAGGAGAACGTGGCCTTTTTTCAACCAGCTGAACCAATTCCTCCGCGTTGAGCAGGAGCTGGTGGTCCCGCGGGAGATCGGGCGCAAGGAAGTCCAGCATCATCTCGTCGACCGCCGGCGGAAACGAGTGAAGAACTCGGCCAGTCCGGGGGCCAAAGTCGCCCAGGTTCAAGTGGAGATAGAAGCCCGTGAGCTGCAGTCGAAGAAGCAGGCAAAACATGCTTCGCGCTTGTCCAATGGGACATCCCGCTCAGGTTTGTGTGCCTTCAATGCTTTATC